TCTATTTAACCTATATGTTTTGGGGTAAAACCTACTTGGGATGAGCGTTAACAGTACTAGAAATGACGAACAGGCCAAATCTTTTGCCCTACGTTTTTCTATTTAACCTATATGTTTTGGGGTAAAACCTACTTGGGATGAGCGTTAACAGTACTAGAAATGACGAACAGGCCAAATCTTTTGCCCTACGTTTTTCTATTTAACCTATATGTTTTGGGGTAAAACCTACTTGGGATGAGCGGTAACAGTAATCTGCCAGGTTAAACATTGGATAATGATAGGTTAAACTAAATCTACGTACGGATAAAGTGTATGGATAACTGGCCAATACGTCCGAGCCCATACATTTCTGTTGTAGCAAGGCGATCGGTTAAGGCCCTTAACCGATCGCCTTACAAAGGAGCCCTTAACTTAAGGGCTCCACTGGATGCCACTCTTTTTGGCATAAAATTGACAAAATGAATAATGAAACTTATGTTTTTTCAACCCACGAAGAGAATTACTTATTCTTTCTGGTGAATAACTTATTCGGCGAGACTAATAGGGTGAATAATTTATTGAATAGTTCTTCAAAACCCCCAGAAAATCAATGCACCTACTTTTCATCCAATGAAGTTGCCAAAATACTCAGTAAACCCAAACCCTAGCAAGTATACGTTTGTAGAGAATCACACGCTTTTTTTGCCATGCGATGATTGGCTTAATAACTATTTCTTCTCTGTGATTGGGTATAAAAATATTCTTTTTCGAGCATTTCCATACAAAATTACAATTAACATTGTTTTAAATTTTCCAGTCACGAGTTTCAAGATTTCTTTGCAAAACGATGAAATCGCTGTTTCTCCGCCCACAGAACGCCTCACGCAATTTGGAGACCAGTTTTGGACTCTCCAAGAACAGGCATATTTATAGATTTATATGCAAAAATGAGCACTATATCAAATTTGGCTACACCCTACTCATCAGTTTCACCCTCCATGACGCTCTTGAGTCCTCGCTTCCCCAAAGGAATGAATTGCAGTGGATGAGCAATTGCTCTTCTAAGTTTGATGGCAGCACACTGCGATGGCGGTCGGTCATCGCCCACTTCGTCACAGAGAACAGTCGCTCGCACACGTTCGACGTCGGTCGAAGGAAATGACAGTCGAGGTAGTTGCTCCGGGCCTGCAGCAACTTGCGACGATTCAACCCACGGGCCGCCATGCTCATGCTGTCCGTGTCACTCACATACCCACCATCGGGCATACT